TCCAATTTATTGTGTTCGTCACAGAGTCATATTGAGTATTTCTTGTGTATCCAATTAGCTTATTCCATACTTGAGTTTTCTTTTTCAAATAGTCCCACTCATTTTTCAATTGCTTTTGTGTTGTAGAAATATTGAATTCCACTTTCAAAACCTTAATAATTCTTTCCCATGCAAGTTTGCTTAAACTACCCCCAGAAGTACGTCTCGCGATGACTTCTTCTAAATATAGATCTAAATAAGGTGTAAACAACTTTTGATCCTTCCAATTAAGTCTACCAGAGTCTTCAGGTTTCATCCTAATTCAAAACATCAACATAATAATATAAGTCAAGTAAAAAATTTAACACATGTCCAATATTTCATAAAACAAGTAAATTACAACATCCAGATTTGCTAAAACTTAGAAATCGTCATCATCAAGAAGGGCATGAAGATACTACACAATCATAAAGACAGAATTTTTTTGCATTTTTTTTTGGTTAATGCGATAAACTAATCTAATAAGTAAAGAATATAACAAGATGACCCCAAAAACTTGGAATTCGCACCTCTCAAATTAAAAAAATTTCCAAACACCAAACTGGCTCATGGTCATATGATATCTCTAAGTATCTGTGTGAATTATTTGAGACAAAGGGTATTACCTAATGTTATTACCACGTACTACCATTATAGTAATAACTACCCTCAAGTAAAATGCCAAAGAGATTTATAATTTCAGTTCTTAAAACAGTTAACAACCATAACCCATAATTTTAAATCAACCAAGTTGAATGACCATTACCCAACCGTAAAACTTAAAATAAAAACAAATCCTACTCGATCCACCATCCAATTTATGAATCAATAATAGTAAAAAAAAAATAAAAACAAAACCTGCCCAACTTCCACCATCCGATTTATGAATCAATAATAATTAATACATGTGGAGGTGGTCTGCATAAGCACTAGGAATTGAAACTTATTAAGAATATGTGGTATTAGAAAACTATTATACTGAATATGCGGCTAAAACAACATTAAAGTTAAAAAATCAATCAATTTCAAAGGTTTACGGCACAAAAAATTTTAATATATTAGCAACCATACATATCCCTAAAGAACACACCAGAATCAATAATCAACTCCCAATGATCAAATACAATTTCTTTCGGTAAGTAAAATATAAATACTAAAATATTACCTTGTGAGTCAAAATATGTGATTGAAGAGTAAATCTAGATTAATCGAGCACATGATGAAGGTGGGAGGCGTTGCTGATGAAGAAGAACCGCGGGAGAGAAAGAAAACGGAGCGAAGAACGGTGGGAGAGAAAGAAAATGAGAGATGGGAAAAAAGTGGTGTATTGTGATGGGTATTTCTGGCCGAGAAAGAGATTAATTAAAATAGCAATCACTGAGCGTGTTAAGCGATAAGTGATAAGTGATAGGGTTATCACTTAATTTTTGGGAAGATTTTTAATAGAAAAATTCCGATGCACTTAATTTATTAAGATGTCTTATTTTAAATTATCAAACAGATCTACTACTATTTAAGTGCTGAATTAATTAAGTTTCAGTGATTAAATGATTATCAAACAGAGCCTAAACAGGAGTATAAATTACAAATTTGATCATTTTTGTAGAACAGTTAGTATGTTGTAACTGAAATATCCAAATACAAAGATAAAATAACTCATCAAAGTAGTTCTTACCATGCCATTTTATCTATGTAAAATATCTTCCTTCCAATTGCAATTGTGTTCATGCATCATTAACCACAACGAATCCAAAATTTCTTTTCCCTCTATAAGGAATCAACGCCAACCCATTAAACTAAAAACTCCCCCAAGTTATAAAAAAAAAAAAAAAGAAGTGCCAAAGTAAAACACAATATAGACAATTTTTTTAGAACTTAAAAGAATTATATCTCCCGCACAACGTGTGGGTATAATACTAGTACACATTAGTAAGAAGTATGCAAAGTGCATACATCATACCTCACATTTTGACTGCTGATGCTAAGAAGCTTGCGTTTCTAATCTACTGCTTGATGACGGTTGTTCCTAGAACTAATAAAACCTATGTTTTGAAAATAGGACCGGAAAGAGAACCGGTAACATGACGGGATTAGTAACTTGGTTGATCGGTTCGCTCGGTCTTCGAAACCGGTGAAAATTGGTTAAAATAATATTTAAAAATTAATTTTTAAAAAATATTTCTAAAAAACCAGTCTAGTCGGTACCGATTTTCAATCAAATCGCGATTTTATCTGAATTATAAAGAACCTGGATTGGCAAGGCCCCGGTTCTCAGACTAACCATTTTGACCGCCTAGCCGGTCCAATTTTCAAAATATAGGATAAAACATGACCTTCCCTCCCCATGGTCATACTACTATAGCTGTTGTTGTTCTTCTAACTCATATGCTTATATCTTTCTTTTTTGTTTTTCTTTCATTGTGTAGTTGTCTTGTTCCGTACATGAAATTATTGCTCGAAAATAAGTACTCCTTTCAGTAATTATTATAAGGTATTTTAATTTCTCATAAATTTTATTTATTATATTTTTAAAATTAGGTAATTGAATAACAGTCTAATGATCAGGATTTTGTGCTTTTTAGGAGTAGACCGCGTTTCAATTCCCACCATTGATTTGTAGGGAATATAAGCGCATACATCCCAACGTTTATTCCCTGCTGGCGAATTCATCCCAAAGTTTTAGAATTGGTTCATTACGTCCCAAGGTTATAAAAATTGAGCAGATTTATCCCATAACCTGCAAACCAACAAAAGTGACCTGTTATTACAGGTAAAATCATTTGGATCCTATATTTAACATTTTTACTTCTACTTTTTTGAATTTTTAAAATTTTGTTAGTTTATTGAAACATAAACAATATTTATAAATGGACAAACTAAAAACTTTAATTTATTTGTAATGAATCTAATTTATTTTATAATCAGATTCATCTTAATTTTTCGATAAAATTTAAAGAAACTTTCCAAAAAAATTTCTTTATTTTGAGTGAAAAATAGAATGATTATACTTTCATATATATATATATATGTGTGTGTGTGTGTGTGTGTGTGTGTGTATCTTGTATTCAAAAATTAATTAATTTTGAGTTTATCCAAAATTATAAATTATTTCATTTGTGATGCATAAATTACTTTGATTATTAAGTAAGTTTTTTCGAGTTTTTTTTAATCTAGAAAGTTTTTTTTTTAATGAACTAAAAAATGACAAAAAAAATAATAAAAAATGAGAAAAAAAAGAATAAATATGAAATACAATAGATTTTTACCTGTTATATTAGATCATTTTTAATGTTTTGCAGGTCATGGGATGGATATGCTCAATTTTAAAAACCTTGGGACGTAATTGATCAATTTTAAAACGTTGGAATGAATTAGTACACTGGTGTAAACGTTGGGATGTATCCACTCATTCACCCTTGATTTGTAAGGAGATTATATCTGCATTTAATTTGGATCTACCGGGAGGGACTTTTTTTAAAAAAAATTATAATAATTGAGAGAACACAATAAATGTAAAAATATATTTTAAGGTTTTATTTTTAATTAGAAAAACACAATAAATAAAATTTATGAAAAACACAAATAACTTATAATAACTAATGGATGGATTATTATATTTATAATATATTATATAATAGAAATACCATAATATTAAACAATTATTTCGGACGGAATATAATTTTCATCATTCCTCTTACGCAGGAGAAAATATTCCATAACTAAACTTTACGATCCACTTAAAGGACTGAGGATAGCCATCTATTAATTAATAATAACACTTGCTCTTTTGTTTTAAAAAATAATTCACATAAAATTTTGAGATTTGTACTAAAATTAATATTTTCTATCTTCCAAAAACATTATCCACGTTTAGTTTTGATCTGAACTAATTAAAACTCAATAGAAATTTTATACAGCTCTCGAAGCTAAATGTGGATAATTTTTTTGGGTAGTGATAATATGAAGAAGAGAGAGTAATGAATTCTCCATCACTTCAAATTCGAAGCATTTTACTTTCACAGAGAGAAGAAGAAAAAGTCTGAGTATCCTCCCTTCTTTTTATGCAATTTCCTAACAATGATGCGCACTCTACTCCAAATTGAGTTTAGGAAACATCCACAATAAATTGTGACCATTAGTTAGAAAACTTCCTGTCCAAAGTTGTGGTTGCGCGTAAAATTTATAATTACCTCGAGTGGGGTAAAAGACGAATTTGTAAAAGTCCAAAGCGATTCATCTCCTCAATTCACATTTGGGAGGGAAGAAGGCGTGAAATTCACAGTAAAGAATGGGTAAAAAAAAAACTCATTACCTGTAATCACTTTCATGACTTAATTAAATTGTGTAGTTTCTCAAAAGAGAAAAAGAAGCAGGAGTATAAATACCTAAGTGTCTGTACGTATGTGTGTTATACGTATGAAATTAATATCACCACTTTTAAATAATTGGAAGAAATTACATGCAAGTACAATTGATGGAATAACGCTGTATGTATTTCATGAACTTTTACTGTCTATAGTTTGAATATCTCGGCTAAGCCATTTGGATTATCTTTAGTTTTTTAAATTGTCACGCAGGCTCATTTAAACTGATTTAATTTAATTTTCTCTAAGCATGATATCACAACCAAAAAAAATAAAAATTAAATACTTAGATTTGCTTGTCCATTTTGGTTTGTTAACGTTTATTTTGGTCTTTTTGGTGAGGGCAGTTCTCAACCCATCCAATCAAAACCGTGCCAACTTCAAATAGCATTAACAAAACTTGATGTTGATGATGGGCTCAATCTCTACTGATCAATTCTTCAAACCTAAAATGAGGTTGGAAAATTTTCACGTATTACTTTCCGAGCTTCCAACTCTATCTTATACGATCTCTTCATTTATTACAGTTCTCTGAAAGAAAGCAATGCATTGCGAAAATGATGTCTATAAATAGCTCTCAATTCCAATCTACCAAACTGCATTATCCCTTCTCATTTATAATCTCCTTAGTTTACTTTCAGCGTTTATTCATTTACTTTGATCAATTTGTTTCGTGCAACATGGCTTCAATCCTCGGCATTTTGCTAACATTGTTGATGCTGGAAGGTTTGACCTCTGAAGCCACATCCTTCAACTCGGATGTTGATGACTCGATGATTCAGCTGTACGAGGAATGGAAAGTGAAATACGGCCGGGAGTACAACGATGTCGACGAACAGGCGTATCGGTACAAGGTTTTCCAGGACAACGTGAAGTTCATCCAGTCGTTTAACAAGCAAACAGATAGAACTTACACCCTTGGAATTAACCGATTCGCGGATTTAACGAATGCAGAATTCATGTCACGTTATGCAGGATACAAACCAGGGAAAAGAATCGATTCCGGGGCTGCATCATTTCGATATGCAGAGGTCGACTCTGTTCCTCCTAAGATGGATTGGAGAAAACAAGGTGTGGTCACAAGAGTCAAAGATCAAGGCAATTGTGGTAATTCAGCTGATCTGACCAAAATGTCTAACAATGTTTTTTCTTCATTCTACTTTAGTTTGATTTAATTGTAAATGTATCGAAATTTCAGGTAGTTGTTGGGCATTTTCTGCAATCGGGGCGATCGAAGGAATCCACAAACTCAAAACAGGGGAATTAGTCTCCTTATCCGAGCAAGAACTAGTTGATTGTGATGTGAAAGGCGAAAACAAGGGATGCAACGGAGGCGAAATGCAAGCAGCGTTCGACTTCATAATGAAAAAGGGCGGGATCGCCAGCGAGGAAAACTACCCTTACGTAGGGGAAGATGATCTGTGCGCTACAAGCAAGACGAAACAGATCGCTGCCAGCATCGGGGGTTATGAAGAATTGCCTGTCAACGACGAGTCAGCGCTGATGAAAGCCGTGGCGAACCAGCCTGTTTCGATGGCGATGGAAGCGAGTTACGAGTTTCAGTTTTATGAAAAGGGCGTTTTTAACGGCCCCTGTGGCACCGAATTAAACCACGGCGTGCTCGCCGTCGGTTATGGGGAAACTAATGGTACCAAGTACTGGCTGGTGAAGAATTCTTGGAGTGCGGATTGGGGCGACAAAGGTTATTTCTTCATTGAGAGGGACATTAAGAAAAAGGGAGGCCGATGCGGGATCGCAATGGACAATTCTTATCCCACTGATTGAAAAAATAGAAGTCAAGTTCCCCTGAATGACAAAGCAGAAGTAATATATGTTTTAACTTTTACCCGGATGATTTTATCCTGCTCTTAACTAATGAATATTATATCAAATGGAGTGACGTTACATTATAGATCTTGATCTTACTTATATGAAAATAGAGTCATCTTACATTAAGAATATTGATCTTCTTATACAAATTAAATCTCCTTTTCCATCAAATTCGACTCGCATCTTCTTCTACACAATAAAAATCAAATAATAGTCATCAGGTGGAGTAAATCTTGTTAAAAATACTTAAATAGCGACAAAGTCAAAACTATAAGTGGGGTGAAATATATGTAAATTTTACACTTATCACCCATCCAGGATGAAATTCATATTTGTCCACACTTGAATGATCTCATTTGCTCATTGCACGATATATGTGCCGCCCTGGTGCAGAAGCTACTAATTCTTCTTCTTCAAATTTCTCGAATAGCTCATCACTTTCATCGCTTTTTGAAAACAATTCACGCCCTTACTCACTTTGACCACTTCCTGTTGCGTAGTCCTCATCGTTCAATCTTGTAATCTGCATCTTCCATGTAATTCTCATTAACTGGATTCTCAAACATTAGGCCACCCTGACTCGTCTCTGCATCTAGATGATAACTTCCTGATGAGCATTTCTCATCATTCAGATCAGTGCCATTTTCCTTGTAATCCGTATTAGCCAGATTCTCAAAGTATGGTCCATCCCGACTCATCCCTGCTTCTAGATGAACCGAGAAGTACTCGTTTCTGGATGGTGTGAACAACCACCTTGCATTTTGTCTATCTGGTTCCATACCCTCCCAGAGTGGATAATATCCTTAGAACCAACATACAAATCTATACATGACATTCTAGGAAGATAATACAGGACTTCCAATGATGGTTTGTGCTTGATTGCGCCGTAATGCCTTAACCCATTACCGGTACTATCAAACAACTGTGACATGCTCGGTTTTCCAATCTCTCTATCCCACCCAAATCTTTCACATCTTCTCCCAACCAATTTATTGTATGACAACCTACGCTCAATCACCATAAAAGTGTCCACCAAGTTGTTAAAACTGTTCGCAACCCATTCTCCATAACAAACTTAATTTTCCAAAACAAATTGAGAATGTATGGACTTTTAAACGCCATTTACATCTATTGATTAAAAAAAGATCATTTGTCAAACATTAAGAACAAATTTATTTAGATCCTAAACCCTAAACACTATAAAAAATGAATTTACAATTAAGCAACACACTAAAGCCTACTCTCTAAACTCATTTAACAATGCATTGCAAATAAAAAACAGATTAAACCCTAAACCCAATCAATAATGCATTTACACGGCACTGTTATCTAACTAGAACAATATATTAAACAATATAGAGACTATAATCACAAAATTCACAAAATTTCCCCTTCATCATATTCTAACATCGCATGCATTTTAGTAATTTCTCAAATAAACCATAGAATTTCTCATAAAGCATCACATTTCTTATGCAAATAATCAAATTCAAAATTTAAAAGACGAAACAATAGTTCTACACATTACCGCTAAAAAAGTACATTAATTCTACTCAGAAAAAAAAAGAACGAATCATCAGCAACCTTCTTGTGATAAAAATTAAAAACTTCAATTGCTATAATCTGTGGAGAAGATCCCAAAATTGCCATCTAAAGAACAAAATTCTACCAAGAAGACAAAAAAAAAAAAAGGAAGAAAACTTCATTCTATGAATAATGAAACCCATCCGTTTTTATTCTTTACATCACCGTAAAATCGGATATCGGTAATTTGATGTAAAATCTATTTCAAAGATATCTCGATATTCTGAAATCCGATATCAAGAAATCGTATTTCTCTAATCCAGCCTCATTTAATATTTTCTCCAACCAATTTTTACCAAATTAATTATTAATCATATTCCCATAATCCGATTTTATATTCAAAAGTTTTTCGCCTAAAATGAACTCTGAATTTTTCAATCCAATTTACTATTTATTATTTTAAAAAATTGAAATACTATTTAATGTAAGTCAACTTTTAAGAGTTCGACCTTTATTTTTGTCAAAGATGAAAATCTTACCGACGTCTCGAGTTGATTGCACCGGTGGCCATGGGGGCATAAAAACCCTAAAGCCTGCAAAAGAGAGCCTTGGGAGTCTCTTGTGGGTAAATTCTCCGATTCGTAAAGTAGTAAAAAATTGATAATAATAGGACATCAAATTACGGTGCATAGACTATAACTTTGAAGAGAGGCGTTGATATCTATTTATATTTCTAGGGTTACTTATTTGTGGAACCCTTTCTTAGTAGAAAAGTCATATTGTGGCGACCTAAAAGCTTACAAATAGTCGGTTGGACCGCCTCTCAAACTTGGGGCTGCCTCGGTTGTGGGCTGTATATTTTACCCTCATTCCATCATTCACCCTTTCAATTTTTGCTTTTTGAAAATAAAGGAAATTATTATTTTATTGTTTAAAACAAATCAAAGTTCTGAAATTGGCTATTGTACTATCACCGGAGCTGAGTTGTGGGGTTTATTTCAATCCCTAGCTTTAGCGTGGGAGCTTGGATGGCAGAAAGTAGTAGCCGAAGTTGATAATAGTAGTGTGATTACTATGGAAAAGGGGTCCGATATAGTGTTGGGTATTCATGCTGGCTTAATTTATGGAATTCGTGAGATGTTAGCTTGAGATTGGGAGGTGGAGCTTAATCATATATATCGGGTAGCTAACTTCACGACTGATTATTGGGCTTCTTTGGCGGCTCAGGTCCCGGGAGGTTTACAATGGTTGGACGGACCACTCCGTGGTATATTACCATGGCTAGAACATGATGTAATAGGGGTACTTTACCCTAGAAACGTACGATCTTGGGCATTTTGCCTCCATCATTGTACCAAAAAAAAAAAAGATTTCTGAAATATGATTTACTAATTAAATTAGTAAATTTGATTCCTGTAATCTGATATGCCTATAAAATGTCAAAAACAAAAAAAAAAAACAAAAAAACAACAACTACAACGGTCAACCCCGAATTGATTCGCATTTTTTAGGGAAGGCACTCCTCATTTATTGCGGTTCTTCTGAAGAAAGCAATACAAGTGAAAATGATGTGTATAAATAGCTCCCAATTCTAATCAACCAAAATTCATCATCCCTTCCCATTTACAATCTCCTTAGGTAACTTTCAGCGGTTATTCGGTTATTTTGATCAATTTGTTTCGTCCAAGATGGCTTCAATCCTAAGCATTTTGCTAACATTATTGATGCTGGAAGCTCTTCTGGCTTCTGAAGCCACATCCCGGAAGTCAAATGCTGATGCGTCGATGACTCAGCGATTCGAGGAATGGAAGGTGAAATACGGCCGGGATTACAAGGATGTCGAAGAACTGGCGAATCGGTACAAGGTTTCCAGGACAACGTGCAGTTCATCGAGTCGTTTAACAAGCGAACAGATCGAACTTACACGCTTGGAATTAATCGATTCGCCGATATGACGAACCAGGAATTCATGTCACGTTATGCAGGATGCAAACCAGGGGAAAAAAAGGAGTCCAAAATGCCGTCATTTCGATATGAATATGTCGACTCTGTTCCACCTAAGATGGATTGGAGAAAACAAGGTGCTGTCACCAGAGTCAAAGATCAAGGCACTTGTGGTAATTCAGCTGAACTGGCCAAAACGTTTAAAAATGTTTATCTTCATTCTACATTCGTTTGATTTAATTGCAAATTTTATCGAAACTCAGGTGGTTGTTGGGCATTTTCTGCGATTGGGGCGGTCGAAGGAATCCATAAACTCAAAACAGGGAAATTAGTCTCCTTATCCGAGCAAGAACTAGTTGATTGTGATACGGAAAACTATGGATGCAGCGGAGGCGCAATGCAAAAAGCGTTCGACTTCATAAAGAAAAAGGGCGGGATCACGAGAGAGGAAAACTACCCCTACATAGCGGAAGAAGTTTTGTGCTCTACAAACAAGACGAAAGAGATCGCTGCCAGTATCGCGGGTTATGAAGACGTGCCTGTCAACAACGAGTCAGCGCTGATGAAAGCCGTGGCGAACCAGCCTGTTTCGATGGCAATGTCAGTGAGTTACGAGTTCCAGTTTTATGAAAATGGCATTTTTAATGGCCCTTGTGGCACTGAACTAGACCACGGCGTGCTCGCCGTCGGTTATGGGGAAACTAGTAACGTTACTAAATTCTGGCTGGTGAAGAATTCTTGGAGTGAGGATTGGGGCGACAAAGGTTATTTCCTCATTGAGAGAGACATTAAGAAAAAAGGTGGCCGATGCGGGATAGCGATGGACAATTCTTATCCCACTGTTGAAAAAGAGAAGTCAACTTCCCCCTGAACTGACAAAGAAGAAATGATACACTATGTTTTAACTTTTACCCGGCTGAATGTATCATGTGCTTTAACTAATGAGTATTATATGAAATGGAGTGATCTTACATTATAGATCTTGATCTTATTCATGCAAAAATTCCTCTGAAGACTAACTAGATTGCTTCTCCCAATTAAGATAATTTGATTTGCTAATATAGATTAATAACCTAGCATAAAATCAACTTTCAGACTTTAGCTTTCATTAAACCGCAGATCGATCGAAGCGGAGTTCCAGGTGGCGGAACTGGAAACCCAAAGGAACAAGGGAGTTTTATGGAGGAGCTGAATCTTAGTTGGAAACCTCGCTCGATTCAAATTAACATTACTCTTAAGTAACTTCCATCTGAAAATTATTATAGAAGTTTGTTTAGCTCGTATCCATTTTAGTTATTGACGAAGCATGGATTCTACACTAACGTCTCCAGTTGATTGAACCGGCAACTATGGCGGTATCAAAAACTCTAAAACCTGCAAAAAAAGAGCCTCGGGGTCTCCCGATCTGATACTTAAGTCAGTAAGAGTAATTATAATAGGGGTATGAATTGTGGTGCGTAGAGCGTACCTTCGATGTGAGGGGTTGATCCCTATTTATAGAGTTAGGGTTACCTATTTTTGAAACCCTTTTCTTGGTAGCAAAGTAATTAGCAACTGCCCTAGAAACTTCCAGGGGTTGGTTGGACCGCTTACTGAACTTGGGTCGGCCTAGTCGCCGACTGTATTAATCTGGACTTGTCAAGTGCCCCTTATCAAGCCTATACTTTGAAGTCTGAAGATAAGGTAGGCTTGATAATATGAAGTGTAAAGTTTTCTCAAGTTCGGGAAGAACTGACTTGAATCGAGAACTTGTGACAGGTTAGCATCGAGGAGAAATCAAAGCAATGAAAACATTAGCGCGTACCTTTTGAATGTAAGTGTCATAAAGGGCGATTGACATTTGTGCCAATTTGTGAAGAAAGAAGAGTCATCAGTTCAAACTTTCGAGTGAAAAGTCGATAGGTGATGATCTTAATAATCTGCCCCATGGAGATACTAAAGCAAATGTCCCGTTATTTGAGAAGATGATAAAGAAGTGTAGTAGAGATGTGTTATCAATAACTTCCAGAGTGACGAAGCCTGGAATTGCAATTCACGTCATTGACCCAGACGTTAGTCGAGAAGTCCTTGCATGATGACTCCCACGTTATGCTCAAGGGAAATATCGAAACATGTGGCCCGCTCATTGAAAGAATCGAGAAAGAAACGTAGTGGAGATTCCCACTAGTCTCAACTGAGGAGTCTACTAGAGGATTGTGACATATGCTTCTGACTGAGAGGTGATAGACCCAAACCTCGAGAACCACCACAGAGTAGTGGATATAGAAGCATCATGAATGAAGGCAGAGAATACTCGATGTCGAGGACATAAGTTTAAGAAGGAACAATGTCTTGGGGTTGAACCGTACGTCGAGAACTTGCCCCAATGTGACCTTCTGTTAAGAAATCTAGAGAATCGAGAAGCCTAGCTTCCAGTGTGATGTATTATTAGAGAATAGGGACTGTACCATAAGCATCCTCTATGTTGAGGAGAGACAGAAGAGTGGAAGACACCGTAGAAGATGTCGCATATGATATCACCAAGGCTGGGATAGCGAGACTCGAGAAGATTCG